TCTGGCAGAAAGAAAACCAAATGTTTTCCCCTTTTGTAGGAATCACCTCATTTCTAGTTTGTTTTGATTATAATGCCTCCCATGATAATGGGGGCATGTCATACTACTCGACTGTAGGTTAAATGAAATTTAATGTTGTTGTAATCAACTAAACCAGACAAACTTTCTGAAAAAGAATATAAAGGATTCAGTTCTGAACTTAATAAATAGAATTCAAAGAATCCCACGTATGAGAGAGCTTGTGAAAAGTAATACAAGACCCAACTCAAATTATATACATTAGGATGTGCATCTAACTTTATAAAATCTGAGGCCAGGATCCTAGGAAGAAAGTGGTATCATCATGGAAAACAAGGCTGGTGGGCACCTGAAGAGGACATCTTGCCCCCATCAGTGGCCCGACAGTGGGATCACCTATACCAGCGTCATCTCTGATGGGTGCTTGGCCAACCTGTCCCAAAAGATTGCTGGGGTAGAGACTGAGCAGCCTCCCTGGGCAGTCCAGATCAGTACCTAACTATTGTTAGATGGGAAAGTTTGGCCTGATGTCCCCCTTCATTCCTGGCTGTAACTCCATCTCTCTCTCGTTCCTGGTCCTATCCACAATGGGAAGAATTTATCCCTTCTCTCTTCATAGCCATACTTTTTTTATATCCCATTCTCACACTTCTCAGCCTCCTTTTCACTGAACTAAGCCACCCCAATGCCTTCAGCAGGCCCTTGGGAGCTCTTTTCGCATCCTGTCTGTTCACTCTGCAGTTGGCCCACATCTTTCTGCAATTTTTAGGCCAACTGCTGGCCATAACTTTTCACTAAAGTTTTACCAGCACTGCATAGACAACTTAGAAAACTTCAAGGGCATCCTGAAAAAAAAAAAAAAAAACAACAAAATCCCACTTGTGCAACCCAACATGAGGTTTGCTTTTTTTTTTTCCAAAAGCATTTAATTATTGTTGCATTCAGTTTGTGACTTATTTTTCCAAACTTTTTCTGCCCTACTGCTTCCTATCCACTCATTCCCTATCTGTATTTACACAGTTGGGATAGTCTTATGCAGTTAATATGCAAAGACTATTCCACCATCACTCCCGAAGTGGCTCATATAGGCTGATTTTCTCTCTGCATAGCTATTAATTAATAATTGTGCTCCAAAATTAAAGGCAGAACCATCTTGTCAGAAAGAGAAGTTGGAAATACCATTTACAAATATTTTGCATCAATTAATCCTGTTCAATATACTTGTGTTTACAGAACAGTGATTTAGAAGAACATCCTGTCAAATACTTCAGACTGTAACAGTGTGAAGTTTGCCAGAAGAAAACATAGATCTAGATTACTATGGCTGTAGTGATTGCAGGAGGATGGCACACAGAAAAGAGAAGAGCAAAGAAATAAGGGGAAAAATAATGAAGGGGGATATTTTTTTAATTAGATAGCCTCATTGCCATTATCACTTTATCTGGAAGAGCTTTTCTACTTTGCCATCCCTCTCTTCCCCACCGCCCCCCCGCCTTTTTTTTTTTTTCTCTTCCTTTCTCTTGTACTTAACTGTCAGAGATATCACGGTACTGTTGTGCATTTGGTCTCACAGTAAGTAAATACTGCTATAGGAGGAACATAAGCAGCCCATACCCAAAGCACTTTACAGGAACTCTGTTTTAACTGTTGACGTTTCCCAAGGGCCTCCCAGGAACCACAGCATGAGTCAGGTCCTAAAATTTTGCTATTCTCTGCTGAATTTGGGGAAAAGTCAAGGAAGAAAAGAAAGTGGCTCTGAAGCTGCTGTGGACTCCCATGGTCCCCCAAGCCTAGTAATCACAGAGGTGACAGATTTACCTCATGCAACCATTGGTTACAAGGTGGATTCAGTCCTTTCTCAGGCTGCAATGTTACAAAAGCCTGCTGCTTTCTTCTCAAGACAATATGCAACTGATGGAGCACAAAGGTGTAGCCCTTCGGCCACAGTTAAAAGATGTATCTGGGTGACCAAGACAGACAGAACCTGATGCTGAGCTCAGCCTCTCCAGCAGGCACAGGTCCCAGCTCCAAGGCTCTCCACCCTGGCCTGTCCATGTGTTTCAGAGAGCCTTAGAGAAAGGCACGGACCAGCTCCAAGTGCCCCCTTTGGGGTGGTAGGAACCCAGTTGTGCTTTCCAGGAGAAGCTGGACCAGCAAGGAGTCATCCATAAGATAAATGTTTTCCCACATCAACCTCTAGAAGTACAACCAAGCACATTTTTGTGGATTTGTGTGGTTTTTTAAATAATGAGACAGGTCAGTTTGCCAAATACCTTATCTTGTTTGGCAGTAACTTTCTCACTTGGAAGATAGCTTCTAACGTTCAGCAGAGAAAAGTTGTTTGTGGACAATTTCAAGAACAGATCAGCTCGCGATCCTCAGGTCTGTAATACTTATTTTTGAGCATGCCAGAGAACCTATCCCGTTTGCATCATTTAACCTCACAAATCTTTATTTCAGGGTTTCTTTTCCCCCACTCTGAGTATGGAAAGATGTTGTGCTCTAACCCCTAGCTGAAGTCCAGTCCTAGGGAGGCAGGGAGAGAGAGATGCTAAATGCTAAGACATCATCTATTTAAATAAGAGCATGTACGTCATCCGATTTCTTTGCTAAGAGCGACAGTCGTGGTGCTGGGTTACAGTCAAAGTATAGTCGCTGTAGTTCAGAGAGACCAAGCTCAAACAACTGTCCCTCCCTTAAAAGTAGACTAGGTGGTGCGTCTTACAACAGATCACAATTCCTTCTCTTAAATACATCATTAAACATCAAGTAGGGTGAGTAGAGCAGGAAATGGAAAAATAATAGTACAACAGGAGAGGTTAACTGCATTTCTCACTTTGGGTAGCGTGATCAAAGTTTGAAAGTGTCTACTCCTGTACACCATTTAAAATTTAAATACCCAACTACATATAGAGACTGTATAAGATAAGAGTCAGAAACAAAGCATTTAACATTCCGCACGTATATTTTTTACAAAGTTACAGCATTTTTCCCCCCTCAGATAATCCATTTTATTTTACATTCCTAATTCCTGTGCTGTGTAAAATACTCCCATTAGAATATGTTAAAGTACAGAGCACAGATCAAATATGTACAAGACAAGAAAACAATGGGGTTTTTATAAAAATGTCAAATGCACAGAGGTCTTAAAATACTTTTAAAAAACAACTTTAAACTGTGTGCAAAATTATGTAAAAAAGTTTTGCTACTTCAAAGAATGTAATAGATCAGACTTTGCAGGTTCAAGCTAAACTATTTCTGTGTTTAGAGCAGCTTAATACTTTACCAAGAAGAAACCCTTGAGGACTTGGGTGATTTCAGCACCTGTGCTCTCAGTGAAGGGCTTAGTGGTCTGTGTGCACATGCCTGTGAAAAATTGTGCATTAACTTTAAGAAAGTTAGAGGTCCATCTGCTGATTTCCAAAGTTCTGACGGTTTTTCTTGAGCACAGTTGGCTTGAGCAGTGGTAAAACTGGGAACATGATCAAAAATCTCCATTTAGGCTCACTGTGTTTGTTCAAAACATCGGAAAGGGTGGAAGAATCTGCATGAAAGAGTTGTGCAAGTCACTGCAAATTTTAATTTCTTGATTTCCAAGATATCACATTTTTACTGAAGGATCAAAAGCTTTCGTTTTCATCTTACACAGACAGCATTTCAACGACATTTTCTGTTAGAGCAGAGTGTTTCACTAAGAGTATGCCAGACTTATTGACTATAACACGACCTTTTAGTTTTCATGATTGAAGTTTTACCATCAAGTCCAATGTGGCCATGCCATTACCATCCCTTTTTAAGGCAGGATGCTACTAAGCATCTAGGCCCTCAGATTATTAGTTACATGGATGGGGTTTAGCTTTATCAACCCAGCCAAAAACCAGCTCGTTGGCCAACTAGCCGAGATAGTCGCTTTTGTTTTTACAGATGCTGTACTTTACTTAGCAGGACTCTTAGAGCAGATGACAGCAAGGTGATGCTGCAGGTGAAGGTTTTGCCCAGAAGTGAATTATGCCCTGGACTAAGTTGTCTTTGTGTCAGAAAAGAGGAAGAATGAAAAAGAGTATTTTTCTGTTATTTTCCAGAGGGGAAGGTGAAGAAAGGAATAGAGGAAAGAAAATGGCATATGAGAAGTCTTATCACTTCTTTGACTATGTATTTTTAAAAGATTACAGAAGCATTGTTTTTAAAATATATTTCTCTACCTTCCTCTAAGACTACTGCACATAAAGCACACGGTATAGCCATCAATGCACTGCTTTTCAGTTCAACCTGCATTTTTTCCTGCACAAATGCTTTCTGGGTGACTTCACCCTTTGACTGTTCCTATACAGAAGATCAAGTAAGCCAAGCTTGAAAAGCTGAAACAGCCTGAGCAGAAAGCTTACAAAAGCAAGAGTAGCTGCCAGTTATACAAACACAGTCTACTTCATTGCTGCAATTTTACATCAATATGAGGTTTAGAAATCAGATTCTGTAGTTACCTACTATCAGTCTTTCCTTTGCTTGCTTACATCCATGCTTAAATCTCTAGCTAAAATGATATTCACAAAGACTAAGTTTAGCCCAAAGCAGCTCATTCTGCCTAACCAACACTATGTCCCAGTGTATTGCTAGGAGAGTAACATCGTCTCTGCGGTTTGCTCCTCAAAGAAAACTGACTCTGAGGAGCTTTCTGGAGGCTGTCAATCTATCAAAGCTGGAGGTAGCACCCATTTGGAGCCCTGGGAAGTACGCAAAGCAGCAGCCCATAATGAGACTGGAGTAGTCAAAGAGCTTTAAATGATAGCTTTAATAGCCAAGGTCTTATATATTGCAGTGTGACATTCTGGACACAGCAAAGAGTAGCCATGTTCCCAGGGCAGCAAATGAAAAGTTATGTTAAGTATGGTGGTTATCTGAAGCAAACACTTACAATAATGAACCCCAGGAGATGGGTTTGGGGCTATCCTTACCTTCTCTAAGAAGTCTAACTGCTGGGGCCTTTAAATGCAAATCCATTCTTTGGACACTGTCCTGGCCGGATCATTTGTGTGTACAAGTCCATCCTCTGCTGCATACTACAAACACAAGTTAAGATAGATGCAATCAGAAGCCAAACTATTGCAGGAGAGCGAGCCAGCAACTGGCTATGCTACCTTAACCTTTCTTAAAGCCCTTGGCAGATATCAAAGTTCAGGCCACATAATTAGACATCTGTATGCTCTACAGCATCTAGAGCTATTCAACAAAAGAAACTAAGCCTGGGTAATCAGCCTCTCCTGACAGCACAACACGCAGGTACACACAGTATCTGGTTGAAGACGACTGTCTCCAGACTCTGGCAGTCACAACTGACTGGTCCCAAAAGAGTGTCCCTGGAGATCAGACATAAACACACCTCCTGTACAGCTGGAGCCATGTGTACTCTCAAGTCTCTAAAGGAAAAGTTCACAAATTCACTACTAGGTAGAACCGCATAAGCCATTCATCCCTGAAGGTATCCTAATATGCAGGGGTGCCACTGGCTTCTCCTGTATTTTACAATTTGGAGATGAAAGTAAAAAAGCAAATTAACCCCCCCAAAAGCCCATACTTCTTGCTCAGAGCCACCTTGATCATTTTGTTTGATCTCCTGAGCATGGCTTCAAGCATCTACCATTTCCATCAGCATTTTCGTAGTATTTTTTTAGACCTAGGATAGCCTCCCCAAACCACACCAGAAAGGTAGTTCCCAGAACACCTCCACTTCTGTTCTCCAAACTCATGGCTACAAAAATACCATGGGAAAGTTTCTGCTGGGGACTACCAGTCTTTCCTTTGCTTGCTTACATCTGTGCTTAAATCCCCAGCTAAAATGAGATTCACAAAGACTAAGTTTAGCCCCAAGGCCACTGACCCAAGATGCTTTGTGGAGGAGTCTTCCTTCCTCACAAGTCCTATGGCATTAGTCTATATTCAGTCTCTAAATTAAAGCTCATCTTCTTGACTTCCTCTGCAACTTTTAAGTCCAGTAGGTGCATTTGCCTCCAAGCATGTGTTCCCATCAGTTTTCAGTCTTGCCCTTCCCCAGTTCCCACTATTTGCAAATCCCTGGGTCAGCTTCCTACAGCACAGTATGGAAGCAACAAGCAAATCCAGCAGACAAGAGTCATTTTTGGACACAACATACAGATGTTTATGGTTTCCCTTCAGACAAAAGTCTTCAGTCAATTGCATTAGCTTACTCCAACTCCTTAAGTTCTAACACTACTACTACTACTTCTAGGAGAGCTGTTTTTTCCATAGGAACTGCCTATAACACCTGTTTATGCCCTCAGTATTGTGTTCCTGGGTATCTTTGTGAATGATTCTTCACTGGTGGCTCCACTAGATAGCAGAGATTGTCTAAGATCAAAGATGACACCTACAATCATTTATATAAATTTTAAGTCTATTGTCAGAAAACCAGGTATGGCAAGTTAAGATTTCATGCTGCAGAGTAGCATCTTCATACAAATTTATCACAATACAACACCTCCCACTAATGGTTCCCAGTGTGCCTTTTCCATAACATTAATGGTCTTACTAATTTCTAACAAAAATACTACCACAGTTACTATACCTACACATGCTTGAGAAGTTGAGTAGTACAAGGTCCAGACGTTAATTTATGACACTAAGGAGGATGAGAATAAGTCTTGCACCTCAGTGCACCATTCAGCTTTGGAGGTTATTGCCACCAAATGCTGTCTACAACCAGAGAGTTTTAAACATATCTAAAAAGTAAGGAGATGAATCCACAGTAGATATGCCCGTCTATGGTTTGGATGCAAGCTCCAGGTCAGTGCTCTCTATTAGCTCCCTGCCAAATACCTCTGAGGAAGGGGCTCTCCACAGCTGCCAGCAATGGTAGTAAGGTATTATTGGCTTTTATTTACTTATATTTCATGGACTTTTTAGATACAGCATCTTTGGTGGTCAATGGCAACTGCCAGAGGTTAAAGGCTAGTACCACAAAGGGACATGCTTGTCTTGCTTTAAAGCAATATTAATGCCATGATATATTAATAGAATTTTTTCAGGAGTAATTAAAAAATACTCTAAAACCCAAAATACACATAGTTTGTAGATGTTAGGAGCTTTGATATTCTTTGTCAGGTCTTCCATAGCCTTATTCAAATTGCTACAAAACTGTATCTAGCTAACAGACCATTGTTTTGATTTGGTAATTCCAGTAAATTTCCTCTTTTTGCTAAAATGTTAGGTAATCTATACAAGTTTCCAGCTACTGATAGACATATGTATAATATGTACAACTTAAATTTTTTTAAAATTATTTCCTTGAACCAGATGCACTTCCCAGACTATTTGCAACTGCATAGCTTTGTGGAAAGTGTCATTAACATTAATCTTTCTGGCCAGACAGCTGAAGATACCAAAAAAGGGTAATTTGTGCATCTGAGATAAGAAAGCAGAACACCAGAAGAGAACTTAAGCTATAGAATAATTTAAATTTTTCTAGAATCCTTATGAAAACAATCCCATTACTTCCAAAGCTCATACGAAGAGCAAGGAAAGAAACCTTTTTCCAGCTTTCTTTGCAGAGTTGACTCTTATTAAGCAGGGGAAAAAGCCCAAGCCTCACACCAGACCATGACGCAGCTGAGGTAATTTAATTTAGTTAGGCAAGACACAGATATCTTGCATTGCTGTTAAAAAAACAAACAAGAAACCAGCAGAACACAGACCTACAATGAGACACCCACCTTGGGCAATCTAGCCTTCCTTTTGAAGCAAGGCTACAGCCCTTGCTTTTAGAAGGCATCACTGTTAAACTGAAGTTCCCCTGCTTCTTTGGCCCTTGCTGAGAGACTGGGCCACGAGACCTTACAGTGGTGGGCCACAAGAGCCTTGGCTGGGTATCCCAGGGAACAGCTTTCCCACCGTCCCAGCCACTCGGCTCTGCTGCTGAGCCTCTGCGTGCTTTCTCCTCAGCTCTAGTAGGACAATGTTCAGTCGGGCAAAAGGGCTTCCCTTTCAGTCCTCTCCCCTCTGCATCCCACTTCATTTATTTTTATGATTATTATTTTTGCAGGGTTCTTATCTGCTTTAGCAGAAGCCAGACATCGCTGTTTAAAACTCCAGCTGTTCAGGCTAACCCTGCTGGCTTTGCACCAAGATGCTACAAGCACTTGCTAGTTTATACCACCGCCTTGGAGACAAAGGTAACAGACAGTTTCAGCAGCAGCTTTGGCTAAGGGCACTGCCTGCTCTCATTCCCAATACAAGGTAACATATGGGCTGTCCCCAGCCATTTCTGCGTTCCCCCAAACAGGGGGGTGACAAACTCCTAGAGGAAGAGCAGCAAGTGACTTAGAGTGGTCGTGTCTCCAGATAGAGAGTAGATAGAGGACACCAGTAATGGTAAGTGTCCAGGGAGGAACACAAGGCAAATAGCTATTCCAGCCTATCTTCTCTAGCTAAACCAACCCCAGAAACAAATGCTTGCACATTTTACATGGGGTCAGAGAGGATTTCTACAGCCATTCTTAGTAGTTGCATATCACTATATAATGATGCAGTGCAAGACCTCAACTCCTTTTATATCAACATAGTTCTTGAAATCAAACATGATATGAAGTGTTTCCCAATGCAAGCCTTTTTTCCTTATGCATTGATCCTTCTTCTTGGATCTAATCAACAGCCAGATTAGATTTTTTTTTTCCAATCAATATTTCCAAGATTGTGGTATGCTCCAAAGACTCTCAAAATAAAACACAATTAAGTTTCAGAAATCAAGTTTTAGATGCAAGAACAAGTTTTCACATGTTCTAAAGGTTGATGTTGGCATTCAAACAGCATTTATGCACCTTAAAAACAAGGATCCCAAACATTTATCACAAAAATATTATGTGGAAACATTGAGGATCACTGTCTCCCCTGTTTGATTTCCTTTTTTTTTTTTTCATTAGACATTTAACCAATATCCAGAAGGAAGTTGTGGTTTATATTAGAAGTGGGTGTGAGTTGGGAGCAGTCAGCATACATAACTAAGCAGGTTTTCAGATCTTTGCCAAGTATCCTGCAGGTCAGTCAAGAGAACCACAGACATCCCCAGCACTATTTACGGGTAGGAACAGATATATGCACAGGCATTATCTACAGGTTTCAGTTCCCTCCCTGCAGATTTTCTATCCCTATTTTTCCTTTGACTTTGTTCTCTGTAGTCCTGAAAAAGTTTTTTGTTTAACAATTTTCTGCTCTGTGACACCAGAGACTGAAGATACCCTTTCATCAGGCTACTGATTGACAACTTCTATTAATTTCAAGACTGTAAGACAGGTCCTGTATTGCAAGTTAGTCTTACTACATATCCCTCACCATACCACTCAGAGGAACACTAGTAGGGAAAGTTATGGGAGAGGGGCAGGGAAGAACAACTTGTTGGACTCACCCACTGCTGTTTCAAGATTAAATTAGCCTCCCCCTTTGTTAGCTCTAGGAAGCCCAGCAGACTCTGAGGAACCCTGCAGCACTCCAAAGCCAGATCCTCCAACTGAAGCCAGGAGGAACAGCAAAAAGCAGCAGCTGTGCATCACGAAGCAGCCTTCAGAAAACCTCAAGGAAATTTGACAGATCATCCCAGCATCTCACGAACAGAGACCAACAGGGATTTCCAACTACTCCTTGGGCTGGCACAGGTCATGGGTATAACATGCACGTATACACAACCTTGCAGTATACTGCCTATGATGTTCCTTGCTGGAAAGCAGCCTCAAAGCAGGAGGAAATGCAGCTTCAGTATAAAGCTTTTTTAGAAGTGGTTCATACAAAGTTTGAGAGGCAAAGCTAGTAAATTTTGTGGTATAATTACCAAAGTTGAAAGTTTTAACATGGTACTTTGTTCACAAAAGCTAACAAGACATGCTATTAGCAAAAGTATTTGCATAACAAGAATAATTCTCCTTTTCCAAGACTAGAATGTTTATCCATATTTAAAGAAAGGCCCTATAACTTGACAAATAGCAGAAGCATGAGTGCTAAATCATCAGGTCATCTGTTAATCAAATAGAAACATTTAGATCCCATGACTGCTGTTTAATCATGGACAAATATCACAGACTGTGTTCTCAATGGGAAGGCTTTTTTTTTTTTAATAAAACATTTTCAGATTTAAGGACACTTACACCAAGATCAATCCAACTCTATGCCTGGAAACACCAAAAGCTCCCTCAGTACAGATGCCATCCCTGTGTTTAACCAGGTAACCCTGCTGCCCACTTGATGCGTATCTAACCAGTCTGCCTACTGCAACCAGCTTCCCTGTAGAAGTTAATGGTAGCACAACAACAACAAGTGGTGGGAATGGAGCCAGAAGCACTTGCTGCCACAGAAGACTGCAATGGTCTGCCCTGTGTAGCGTTGAAACTTTCAACACACCCCTGTGGAGAGCTGC